AGCCTTTGCGCAAGATGGAAAGGGGAGGGGAGGGGAGGGGAGGGGGGAGGGGGGAGAGACGGCGTAGCGTGGAAATAAGTTGCTACTGAGCAGAGGGGGGCAGAAGTCGGCGGGGAGGCTGTAGGGCGAAGCAGCAAGTCCTCTTTCCCACTCCCGGCTGCTGGAATTCGGAATTTAGGAGTAGCCACCAGACGGCGATCGCATCCTGCGCTGGTGAGCCTCGATCCTCCGCCCCTCGGCGCAGCCTGGGGTCGGGCGTTCCTCCTCCAGAGGGGTCTCTCGCCCTGCCTCTTCGCTTCCTCGCGACCCAGAGCGGGTGGGTGCCGGGCTCGCCGCAGCCTTGCCAGGATGCGCAGAGCCGGCTGGCCGCGGGAGCAGGGCGGGATGCCCCAGCCGGGCGTGCTCTGCTCTGCAGGTACCAGGAAGGAGTTGCTGGGGAGCGAGCGAGCGAGCGGGCGGGCGGGCACCGCGGGGCACCGCGGAGCCCTGGCGAGGGCCAGCCGAGCCGAGCGCTCGGGCGCAGCGAGGAGGCGCCAGCCAAGCGCCTGCTGGGGAGAGGCGCAAGTGCGCGGGATCGCGCCGGTGTCCCTCGCGGGCCTCTTCCCGCTCTCCCAAGAGCCGAGCGTTTGGCATTCCTCCTCCGCCTTTCAGTGGAGAAAGCTCGCTTCTTCGGCTGCCGTTCGTTTCTGTATGGCAGGAGATTCGTGTTGAACGGGCACGTGTGAGGCAGGCCTAGCTTTGTCCGCTTGCTTCTTCTTGGGGTGAGAGATCTTGAGCGTCAGCAGTAAGAGGCTGAATTCGCTTCGGGTCCGCCGGCAGGCAGGGACCTTCTCTTTCAAGCCACTTCCTGACAACAGCATGATCTGACCACAAGACCTTTCCAGGTTGTGCAAGGGGCTGGTTCAAAATCCAGATGCAGGGAAGCGCGGACAGGGTTACTCTGGGAATAAGCACGACTTTGGTGATTGGAAAGGATTGGGATGTGCAATTAGATCTTATCCATTCTGCACTCCTGCAGGAGTGATTACTCTTGTTTCAGCTAAGTTTGTTTTAATCTTGGCTTTATTATAGTTAGCCACCCTGAGCTCTGTTTGGAAGGGAGGGTGCAGAGATACGGATCAAAGAAATAAATGCACACATTTGCTCCATGCTTACACTCAAATACATACTTCAGTTTTGGACTGGATCGAACAAAACAGCAATCGAGTTCCCGCCACCAGATTCATTCCTGCTGTGCATTTCAGTGTCGCGCTCTTCTTCCAGCATCCTGCTTGGCTCACTCACGTGAGCCACTCCAGATCATCATTTTAAAAAGACGGGCACTTTGGGCATAACATTGCGTTGCTTAAACATAAATGCATCCAGCAATAAATAGGAGCACTTCTCAGCGTTTCTTTTGTGCCAGGGCTGTCACCATACCTTTGGAGGGTTCCAACTGCTTTCAGGCAGACAAGGAAGGGACTGCCAGGATGGGCGACGGGCCACCTGGTGAACCCAGCCTAACCAGCAGGGAATCATCCGTCCCTTCTGTCCCGCCTAGTAGGAACTGTTCAGGTTTTTCACAAGGAGGAAGGAATGTGCTAGAAGCTGTGCAGCCGCTGCCAGCACATCAATCGCCTGTCAGCATTTCTGAGGCAAGGCAGCCCCCAAACTCTTGTGGCATCTCAATCCCATGAACATCAAGGGATCTTACTAGGAATTAAGCCCCACTGCATTCAGCGTGGGGCTGTTCCAAGGCAAGTATGCACAAACTCGATTCCACTGTACCACTCCAGAAAAAGAGGCTGGTGTTGGCTGTTTGCCTTCTGGACCAAATTGTCTCATTTCAAAAGTAGGGATAAAGCTTGTCAGTGGGCTAGAATGAAGGCCCTTTCCCTACCTTTTGCCAGTGCAGGAATCTTGGCACCTGGTGCCACCACACCTGCTGCCTGGCTGGCACGTGCAACAGCTGCCACTCATCTGTTACCCAGCAACAAGACACGCCTGCAGAGTGGCTCGCTCACTCATCCACCCAAGAATAAGCAGAGGCAGCTCAGCTTGTCCCTGTGTGGTAGCAAAAACCACAACCGAAGGATTCTAGCTGCCAGCAATGGAGAATGTTCCTCGCTTTGCTGGATTTTGTTTGACTGCTTTTCAAGTAATCCCAGAGGCAGAGCAGAGATCTGTTCACTCAGCTCCACAGGCCAGGGCTGTCTATTGTTAAACACTTTGCCAAATTCAAGTGGCAAAACACTGGAGCAAAAAAGTTGCAAATTCATTGCTAAACTGGTGGCATGTATATTTATACTACAGTAAGTCCTGCGCCGTTTTGCTTGGATTTTTTTCCAAGAAAGAATTGGGAAAATAGGATTATTGTTTTAGATGACGCCAAGCCACCATCTTTTATCTGTGGGGTTTTGATAGGCACCATTTAATAACTGCTCAGTCAAGAACACTGAGGATCTCAGTTTCCCAGCCTATATAATGGGAAGAATTGCAGTGGATCTTACAGGCCTATTATGCAAAAGAATAAGAGGAGGAGTTGAGAAGCATCTTGTTCATCAAGTATGTTGATGAAATGTTACAAGAGAAAATGTGGGTATTTTTGCTAACAGCAATATAAAATGATACATATTTTGTTTCCCACAACCTAACCGTCAGATTCTGTGCATGTTTATTTGGAAGTCAGTCCCAGTCTATTGAATGGAACTTACAAGAATGTGTGAACAAGTTTGGACCAAATTCAGCATTGTCTACACTGGTGCAGTTCTAATCAAGAATTCATTGGTCCTAGGTTGATTGCCACATAATTAAGTTCAATAATTCTAGATCACTGTTATTGGCACTATTTATTTATTTAATATTTTTAGACAAATGGTGCAAAGGTAACAGTCTTACACTGAAGAATAAGGAAACAGTATTGCCACTTATAAATTGTGTTCTCTTTTTAAGTATTATTACATTTCTTAAGCTATATCCTGAGTAATCAGTTCATCAATTACCAAACTGCAAATATTTGCAAATAATAGTTTTACTCATCATCTGTTAATTTAACATAAACCACTTTAACCTCTATTTCTCTCATCCCAAACAAAAGAAAGATTGTAGGAGTGAAGCAATAGCATCTCCATGCTGATCACATTTATCTGGAAAAAAATCAACGCCTTGAGCTTCTTCCGGATCTCATTAGTCAGTGGTGGCAGCAAGTAGATAAGCTTTTTAGTTTGGTCATCACCTTGAGATTGCACTGTAAATATTCCAGTGCCACTGCCATTAAATTTTGTTACAGGGAAAACATATAGCTGGATCTTCTGGAAGGGTATCAGCCCTCAGTCCCATACCTTCGTATTGGTTCTATGAAAAGTAAGGCATTAATTAAGTGAAGTTTTAATTCAGCCTTCTCAAATATGAAAGCCTCCAGATAAGCTGCATTCATGCCAGTGTACAGCTGGATGGATGGAGCTGTAGTCCAACATACTTGATCTGGTTCTGTTTGAGTTGTTTGGGGTCCTATCTTATCTGTTCTGGGAGAGCACATTCTCCATGCACTTCAAATGTTTAAAGATAAGAGGATCTCCTCCTGCTTGAAGGCCTCTAGCAAAGCCTTCTCCATAGTGATCCTGTTGTTGTGTTAAGAGAATCCCCCAAAGGATTCTAATGGTTGTGGTTTATTATTATTATTATTATTATTATTATTATTATTATTATTATTATTATTATTACAAATCTTGTTGCAACACAGCAAATGTTTGAAAGAAAGGAAATGGTAATGAGTGGCAAACAGAACTTCTGGGTTTAATAAACAGGAAGTGGCATGCTTGCATATTTCTTTCTCATTCACTACAGATTGCGCTATGAACAGAGTACCCTTTTCTGTGCATTCAAGTTTCAAAATCCTATGGCAGTACTTGGGTGGGAGAAGAATTGTTTTATTTCAGAAGGTTGTCTTCTTCCTGCATCTGATAAAGTAGACTTTCATAATTCTAAAGCTTGTCCATATAGGCAAGGCCTTATGGGAGCTGTAATCCAAAATATCTGGAGGGCACTAGTTACCTAACCCTGAAATAAACTGTTGCCTTTGAAAGCAAGTACACTGTACAATGACCAGGTTTAAGATGCACTTTTCTGTACTTAGTATTCAGCCATGTGAAGAAAAGGTGGACAGGCAGTAGACATGATGGTCCTGAACATCAGAAAACTTTGTATTGTAAAAATTCTACAGAAAGATATTGGTAGGGAGGACCTTATGGGTTGGATGGACAACCCTTGGGACTAATTCATGGATGGTTCCGCGAAAAGGACTCAAGAGGGTGGGTTGCTATATTGCTTGTTGCTGATATTATGCTTATTATATTATTATTATGTGGCAAGAACTCCCACCACTACCATTTGTTGTTCTTATAGGAAGCATACTATTACTGGTATAGAAAAGAGTTCGGACTGATATAGATACAGTTCTCAACACAGTAAGAGAATAATAATAGAACATCACTGAATTTTTGTTTGCAGGCTGCAGAAAAGTAGCAACAGCAACAAGTGAAGAGTCCTTAAATACTATCTACTGTAACTTAGCCTTCTAATGCTTCATCCGAATTATGGCCATCAATAGTCTGGTTTATATATACACAGGTGGAGAGGAAAAGAAAAGGTTGAAAAGAATTAGGCCAAAAGTGATAGAATGCAAAAGGAAGAGTCTAACATTATTAAGTTAAAATAACTTTTAAACATTTTAGTTACTAATTAAAGCATTGTCTCTGTGTGGCATTATTTATACTGAGTGTCAGAAGTGGAAAACTTTTCCTTGGAAAACTTTTCCATGTCTGAGCAGGGAAACTGCTTTTTCTTGTTATATTCTCTATACTTATATAGGATCTTGCCGTGGAATCTTAATCACTGTTCATTCTGCAGTAGTATCTCC